CAACAGGAAGTTACTGGTAACTTTTACTGAAACTTACATGTAACTCACAGAAACGTTAAAGCAGGCTTACCAAAAGTTGGACGCAACTTCTCTGATAACTAACAGCTAACTTTTTAGGTAACTTACTAGTAACTTTGACAGTAACTTATATGTAACTTCAACAGGAAGTTACTGGTAACTTTTACTGAAACTTACATGTAACTCACAGAAACGTTAAAGCAGGCTTACCAAAAGTTGGACGCAACTTCTCTGATAACTAACAGCTAACTTTTTCAGTAACTTACTAGTAACTTTTATGGGAACTATAGGTAACTTATACTTGAACATACAGGTAGCTTTAACAGGATCTTCTAAATTATAATCTTAAAATACAAGATGTCCAAAAATGTCAGATCAGTCACTACTGCAGCCAGGGGGCAACACACGGATCCTCAACCCAACTTATTAAAGCTTCTTTTCCAACTTATTGTTAAGAGGCACTAAGCAGACATGTTGGTTTTCTCTGTCAGAAATAGATCAGATCACTGCAGCGTCCAGCGTAGCTCTCCACCCTGTTTTTATTCCTCGGCATAAAAGGGATCAGTTAACAGTTTGTCTGTTTCTACTGTTTCATTTAGGTTAATTCTTTCTACCCTTCTCTACATTTCTTTCTCCGTTTTATGAATGATGTCTTAGAATAAAAAAAAAAAAGTGACGGGTTTGTTTTTTAGAAACCTCTGTTTATATCAGCCTGACACCCTGTGGCGCTCGGCTCGGCTTTGTTTAACCCAGTAGCTGCTAAAAAGCAAAAGTTAACCAATCCAGCTATTAACTTTGGTCAGACATTAAAGCAACTTGGTTTGAATCAGGAAAACTATCCTTTAGCTCAGCCACTTTTTTTTGTAGCTTACAAGGGGAAAGCGTTTCATATTTTTATTGCTTCCTTGTGCCTTATCCTTTTATTTCTGCCTGGTTCGAAGCAGACACCTTCCTCCTTGGATGTGGTGCTGAATTTCACCCATTCTGGGGTTTTCTAATGGCCTGGATGTTTGAATGGTGGTTTTCTCATAACCTCGTGGGCCACAGATGGTTTAACTTATGAAATAAAGACGGAGCAGTTTTTTTAGTATTCAGAATGACGTTATTCAAACATTTAGAAAAATGAAACTAGAGAGAGAGAAACGGCCTGATAGTCCTGGCATGTTAAAGCTGAACTTCCCTCCGTTCGAACCTTTAGGCTCTGATAATAAAAGCTGCAGTTTATCCTTCTGTTTTCTATCCATCAGAACTCAGTGAACGCACTGGGCCCCATCCATCACCTCTGCCTTTCATCTGGAAAACATAACAGCGCTCTATAATTCACTTATTCTAATAGCTGCAAGGCTGCTTTTTTTTTCCAGACCTGATGGGAGACAAAAACAAATAATTCAAGCAGGAGGTCTGCGGTTTAAATCCCTTTTAGGACGGTGTTGAAAGGGAAACGGTAGATCAGGGGGTAAAGGTTGACCCGCATGTCGGTTAATGAAGATGAAGGACCTATGAGATGTGACAGCTCCATCATCTCGCCAACACGATGGCAGCTGCTGAGGAACGCCCCATCCTCTGACATGCAGCCATTATTATATAAGGATTATATAATCGTTATGAGTCATATTTAACTCCGCTAGACCTGGAAGACGTTTCTGGCAGCATTTCAGATCCTGCATCAACCGATCCGCCGTATGGTTGGTGGCGTCTGATAATCCTAGACTTACGTTTCCAAGTCGCGTTGAATTTAGGGATCCATGAGCGAGGGTTTTATTCTAGCGAAGAGGACAGTCGTCATGGTGACACGGAGTCAGCTGCAGGCGGGTTTTAACAGAAGAAAAACAGCTTTTTGACCCAGTTTACTGTTTCCACATGCAGGACTCTCCCTGGACGGCAGAGATCAAAAGGTGGACATGTGGTTTACACATTCAGAGGGTTTAGCAGAAAAAAGGGGGACATGAAAGGGAGCGTGATGCCGATCTGTTCTGGTTGGTAGAGTTCTAGCCGTTTATTGTTGTATTTAATTGTTTTGGCGGTTAGGATTACTTCAAATCCTCCAGAGAAATATTAAATCCCCTCATGCTTTAGTGCCTAAACATCATTGTTTTAAAAAAAGAATACAGAAAACCTCAACAGAATGAAAAAAAAAATATGCAAGCAAAAATCTTTTGCTGAGATTTTATTCTCTATTGCATTTTATTCTTATCTTATTGCACTTAAACCTCACTCTGCTCCTCGTGCGCCGCACAATGGCAGCCCACACTGGAAAAAATAAAAATCTTGATAAGTCATTTTTTTCTTAAAATAAGTGCATTTGTTCTTGAATTGAGGAG